TGTGTGTGTGTGTGTGTGGTGTGTGTGTGTGTGTGTGTGTGTGGCCAGCTCAGCCCACCAGGGGGGCGGGGCTGGCCGGCATGTGGTGCTGGGGGATTGAACCGCGGTCCCTGATGCTTTGCTAAGCTTGTTCTAAATAGGTGCTTTAGACCACTGAGCCATCTCTCCAGCCCTAATTTTCTGATTGAAATGATTAGAATTGCTTCAAAATTAGAACTCCTTTGAAATAGTGAGTTATAATGAAATAAAATTACATGCTTTTTGTAGCCAGGAAAAACAGTTCCAAGTGTTAAAAATAAAGATATTTTCTAATGCTTTCAGAAACAGTATTTATCAGGATGTTTAGGATTATACTGAATGATGGACTTATAGACTGAATCAAGAATGTTAGTTCTTCACAAATTGCTATGAAGGAAGCTATTAACTGAGGTGGAGGCAAAAAGAGCTGTAACATCATTGTGTGCCTTTACAGAGTGTCTGTTGGAGTTTGTCTGTATCATCCCATAATTCAGAGAATAATTCTGTTGACGAAGTGTTTTGAATAAAAAGCTGTCAGGTGGAGACCAGGGGTATGCAAATTACTCATTTATACCTGAGTAAAAATATATGATATCCAACAGTGCTTATAAAGTAAGCATTTAAAAAGATAATAGATGAGGAGTGAGAGTATTATGGTTATAAAATGTGAATTTTCACCAATATATATGACCTTCCAAATGGGCTGTCTCAGTCCATTTTCTCTTGCTATAGTAAAATGCCCAAGTCTAGGTTATCAGTTCAAAAGAATAGAGGTTTATTTGGCTCACAGTTCTGAAAATTGGGAAGTCCCAGGTAGCCACACCTCTGAGCATTTGATGTGGGGCTCCTTGCTGCCTAGTAACTTGACTGAGAGTATCACCTAGGGAGATGTGCAAGTGTGTTTGCTTGAGTCTTTTTTTTTTTTTTTTTCTTAAGTCATTAGTCCTCTTAAAGGAACTCCACCCTCTCTAGGCTTCATCTGATCCTAATTACCTTCTGAATACTTCACATGCAAATACTGTACACACAGGAATTTGGGGATTAAAGTCCCAAAACACAACTTTTGGGAGGACACTTCCAAAATGTACTGTGGGGCATTTGTTGTAGTCATCAGAGATAGCAGTGAGATATGAGCATATGGATTTGACTCCTGGATCAAATTTTCACCTCTCTCATTTACTGTTACCTCTTATCATCTTCTGAAATTACCTACTTGTGATTACATGTATAATAATACATGGAGAGATCCAGTCCTAGCCAAGGCACAGTAAGTGTCTGGGAGAGTTTCCAGCTACCCTACGTCGACGGGAACTGCCGTCCCAGCAAGGCGCAGAGTGGGTGAGACCCTCTTCCACCCCTTTGGGACAACCCCCACCACTCCGCAGCACCTCCCGCACCCCGCCTGCCGAGTAGGAATTTCTGCCATGTTCCAGGAACCCCCAGATCCAGTCCTAGCCCAGGCCCAATGAGTGTGTGGGAGAGCTTCCCGCTACCTTGCACTGGTGGGACCTACCTTTCTCAGCCCAGGCACAGCATGGGTGAGACCCTCTTTCACCCTCTTGGGATGCTGCCCATCACTCCTTAGTACTCCCCTTCCACCCGCTCACCAAATAGGAATTTTGTCGCATTCTGGGAACCCCCAGATCCAGTCCTAGACCAGGCCCAGTGAGTGTGTGGGAGAGCTGCCTCTCCCCGCTACTCCACCATTCTCCTCCAGACTCAGCTCAGGCCTGGCATACAGGCCTGGGGTGAAACCCTGCAGCTGCAATCCCTGCCGAG